GTTTGACACAGTATAGACCAGTGGCTGTCCAGTCAGGAAAAAGTTTCCTAGCTTAGTGCTTCCCGGTATTATTTATTTATTTATGAGACTTACATACCGCTTTAAGTGCAAGCACTCTCTAAGCGGTGTACACCAGTAAGCAATGTATATTTATATTTATACTGCCCCCAACAATCTGGCTCCTCATTTTACCTACCCCGGAAGGATGGAAGGCTGAGTCAACCTTGAGCTGGTGAGATTTGAACCGCTGACCTGCTGAACACAGTCAGCTAAAGTGGCCTGCAGTACTGCACTCTAACTGCTGCACCACCTCGGCTCGGTATAAAGGGACTGGGCAGCAATGCTGAATTTTGGGTGTCTACACCTAGTCCTCAACTTACGACCACAATTGAGCCCCAAATTTCTGTTGCTAAGTGAGACCGTGGCTAAGCCAAATTTTCCCCCTTTTATGACCTTTCTTGCCACAGTTGTTAAGAGAATCACTGCACTTGTTACCCAGCGGTTGCCAAGTGAATCTGGCTTCCTCATTGACGTTGCTTGTCAGAAGGTTGCAAAAGGGGATCACATGACCCCGGGACACTCTGTCATAAATACGAGTCAGTTGCCAAGCATCCAAATTTTGATCACATCACTCTGGGGAAGCTGCAACGGTCCCAAGTGTGAAAAATGATCATAAGTCACTTTTTCCAGGGACGTTGTAACTTCGAACGGTCACTACATGAACTGCTGTAAGTCGAGGACTAGAATTTTAAGAACAAGAGAGAAACAGAAAATGCTCCTATAAGACCAGAGAGAAGTCTGAGCATCTGGGTTTAAAGAGAAAAAAAATACAGTTGTTTCAGAAAGCAAAAGAAAATGGAGTTTATGGTTTTTGATCATGTTCCAAATGCAGATACACATACGTGAATCTTGAGAAAATACGCATCAATCCTAACATACAAAGTTAAAAAAATTCTTATTATTAAATTAGCACCACCTCGGCCTGTTTGCTGAACCCCCGTTTGTAGGATAAGCTTCAGTAGCTGGATTCAGACAACACACTAAACCATAAATGGTTTATAAATGGAGTTTATAAACAGCTGGATTCATCCATCTCAGCTTAGAACTGATCTCAGCCACTATAACTAAAACACTGTTTATGCCAACTGTTTATTGAACAAACCATGGTTAGTTACAACTTATCATGTAAAATTGAGTCCATGTATTTAACATTAGGATGGTGTTACTGATTATAATTCTTGATAGCAATTCCTGGTTCTCTTGAGCCTCAGAAGGAAGACCCCTTAATAAACTTAAATAAAGTTATTCTCTTTGGTTTAACAACTTGATCAAAGATATCACATATTTTAAATATATATATAATAAACTGAAGGTACAGCTTGAAAGCTTCTAGAAGGAAAGACTAGAAAGCCGGTTCTGATATTTCCTATTTCAATGGATTTTATTTCTTTTTGTAGCAATTTTTTTTTTTAACAAGGGAGAATCCAACAAGTTGCTGGTTTTTGACCCACAAAAGAAAGGCAGAGTTATGGAAAGACAAGACTTCACATGTTAATTAGAGTTGCCAATAATGAGCAAAGGTTAATTTATTCCAATATCTCCAAGTCAGTCTGAATATAAAAATAAACTAAGTGAAGAGAAATGTGTGTTTAGTGTCGACCAGGATAACTAGCTGGAAGGAGCAAACGAAGATCAGAAGTCACAATTCCAGATGCAGCAAGAAAAAAACTTTAGAATAAGCAAAAAACCTAGAGAGATGAGTTGAGAAGCATCAGTTATAGGGGAGGTGAATGTCTAATGTCTGAAACACGTGCATCAAACAATATGTACAACAATTTCTGGAAATTACTACTCGTCTCAAATTGGGGGCCCCAAGCAGTCAAATAAAGAATTATATATACATATATTTAGTGTCAACACACAGCCTCTTTGCAGTCTCTTTAGTTTGAGGGATGAATACCGTGCATAACTTGAGTATTATAGCCGCATACCTGCTACCTACCCTTCTAAAATATTGCTAATAAGAGATACATCCTGGAGAATGTTCACATCACCAACAGGAGTAATTTGATTTCCATGAATTTCACTGGAGCCTAGCCAAGTCTTGTCTCAGACTCATAGCTGAACATGAAATATCAAAATTCTGTAGCTTGCACAACTGAGAAACCAGAATGCCAGTAAACTGGAGGCGGGGGTAGATAAGCCCTATTTTCTTTTTGTTTTTTACTTCCTAGAAATTATCACTTTCATTTCTAAAGATGTCACAGAAAGCTTTTTACTTTTTCAACTCAAAGCAAATAGTGCTTTGACCCAGCACCCCCCAAAATAAAATAAAATACAGAATTGGCCAAAACCTATGACTGAATGAAACAAGAAATCATTGGGGGAAGTTGAGAGGAAGTAACTCACATCTGGATGCATAACATGTGGATGATCCAACAACAAAAGTCAACCTGGGCGAACTGAGAAATTTCTCCCCTACCACCTACATTTCAAGAAAAACTTTAAAAAGGTGGGTGGAGAAAGAAAAAAGAACAAGGGAAGGTGGATAAGGCATCAAGAAAAATAGTAAGCTTTATATAAAGGTACAGGACTCTACAGCAACTGAAAAGGGTTAAAATTTCATGAAATGGAAACAAAACAGAGGTGAATAGCTTCCTGGGTTCCAGAGGCACTAAAAACTCATTTTTCCCACCTCCAGCATTTCCTTTACATGTACAAAACTACGCGCCACACTTTTATATTCACTTGCACTAACCCACTTAACATCATGACTAGATTCGCTTATCAAGCTATGCGCTGTGACCGGCTGAGTCCTCAAAACACCTTAAACCACAACTTAGCAACTATGTAACATCTCAAACCCTATTTTTTTTTGTTTGTTTGACTTGGGCATAGCCATGGACTAGATTCCAATGCTGCGCTCAGTTGTGGTTTGTTGAATAAGTCACAAAGGCCAACTTTCACATCAAGAATGTTTCTAAACTACCACAGTTGGATTGACACACGGCATTAAAACCCAAAGCAAACCAACCCATTTGGGCTCAACAAAAGCGGGCTTTAAATAATGGGGCTTATTTTTAAGTAGACATCTAGACTGGAAAACTCCTTTTAGGTAAACTACCCTGGGTAAATAAATATATAGGATTATAGTCCTCTGCAAACAGTACAATTTTGCATGCTCAGTTAAGACACAATGCATATTTTGCCATGAAGCATTATTTAAGTTATTTTCCCAAAGCTTGCTCCTCCTTTTCCCCCTTCCCTTTTTCCCTTTTTCTTTTCCTTCCTTTCCTTCCTTCCTTCTTCTTTCCTTCCTTCCTTCCTTCCTTCCTTTCTTTCTTTCTTTCTTTCTTTCTTTCTTTCTTTCTTTCTTTCTTTCTTTCTTTCTCTTTCTTTTTCCTATGACCTCCTACAGTATCTGGCCCATGGAAGATTGGGTGGTGGCTAAAAATAAAATCATTTCGAAGAAAAAAACAAGGTGAGGCCCTGATAAAAATCTTGTTCCCAAGATCTGACATCCACCCATTCTAGAGAGCCATTAACATCCTGGATCCCGTGCCTGGGGGAAGAATCAAGTCTTCAGTCTTCTGAAGAAACTATAAAAGCAGTGCCACAAAAGACAGGGCACCCTTTGAAAAAAAAACTGCGAGCCTTCCACACAGATTCAAGCTTAGCCCTTTCCTCCTCTCAGTGAGGCACTGGCCGTTGTACCAGACTGAGTTCCATATGGAAGTCATCCTTTTAAAGGAAGAATATTGAATTTCATGTGAGCTACAGCTACTTCAGACCCTTTGATTTAGAACAGGGTCTTCAAACGTGGCCCTTTTATGACTTGTGGACTTCAACTCCCAGAATTCCTCAGCCACAAACTTGGCCCTTTTATGACTTGTGGACTTCAACTCCCAGAATTCCTCAGCCAGCGTGCCTGGCTGAGAAATTCTGGGACTTGAAATCCACAAGTCATGCAAGGGCCAAGTTTGAAGACCCCTGATTTACAACGTTCTTCACCTTGGCTGCTGGCCACCAGAGAGCATAACTGTTGCCCTTTAGGAACTAAGGTTTAAAAACTAGAGAAAAAAAAAGAAGTACCAGATAGATCAAACTACCAGAAAGCACCAAAATTGACTTTCCTTGCTAGAGTTATTCTATAGACCCGGTCAAGGAACAGGAATCACCCAATGCTTAGTCCAAAAGCTACCTAGAAAATTTCTGGCATGTTCTAGGACAGGGGTTCTCAACCTTGGCAACTTTAAGACTTGTGGACTTCAACTCCCAGAATTCCTCAGCCACAAACTTGGCCCTTTTATGACTTGTGGACTTCAACTCCCAGAATTCCTCAGCCACAAACTTGGCCCTTTTATGACTTGTGGACTTTGCTGGCTGAGGAATTCTGGGAGTTGAAGTCCACAAGTCTTAAAGTTGCCAAGGTTGAGAACCCCTGTTCTAGGAGGTGAGCAGGTCTATTTCATAGGCGTGAACTGGCCCCCACCGCACCCCACCCCCCAGCCAACAGCTTGCAAAACAGGCCATCTGCACCGTCTCCAAGATCAGCTTTAGGTTGCGTGCTGCACTTGGCATAGGTTCCTTCAAAGCAATTAAGCCATTTTCTGCTGCCAGTGCATCAGAGTACAAGGTGAGCCAAAAGGTGATTATTATCCAGGCAGGCCTTGGCAAATGCCCAGGATTACAGCAATATTATCTGTGAGCTCCAGAAAGCTCAGGGCACTTGACAAAAAAAAAAAAAAAAAGCCAGGTAGTTTGGCAAGCGACCATAGTCCATCGGCGGCTTGGGTGGCAAACTGAAAGGATGCCAATATGATACCAGGATCGGGCTGAAGTCAGCGTGCAAACACGGTTTAATGCATTTGCATCCTGACATCTGATGCAAGCGGGGTACGCAACTTGCAGTATTCTCACACAATGACGTGATTTGTGGCTTGTCTTTCCTTCATCCTTCCTGAAAGGTAGAAACCAAGAGTTTAAGGAAACCAATGACATCATTCTTCCAATTAATTTTATTCTTCCTTCATGCCACCCAGAGGCTAGAGGACAATACAAATGCCTCATTCATAAGAGGAAAAAAAAAAGCGGAACAATGTTTTCCAATGGTGTCAACTGTTCAATAACCCATGATAGTGCAACAATATCTCTGCCATCATATAAACCAGGGGTGGCCCTTGTATGACTTGTGGACTTCAACTCCCAGAATTCCTGAGCCAGTTGAAGTCCACAAATCATGAAGGCGCCATGCTTCCCCATCTCAGATATAAACCGATGACTTACTCAAACTAGCTAAGTCGTGAGCTCCAGATCTAAGCAGGTCTAGATGACGTGGTCATGAGTGAAGAATTTTGGGTACTGTAGTTCAGCAAGAGATGGAGTGGCTTGGAATGGGCTGGTCACACACTACCAAATCTACACATTTAGAGGTCCACCATCAGAGGCCAGACCTCTTGCTGATGTTACCCAGCCCCTTTACCTTCACAAAAATGATTTTTTTTTTAAGAAACTGAAAGAACACAGGAGCCTACCCGGCTAAGCATTAAAAGAAAAATTAAAAAATAAAATCTAGTGTTGACAATGGATCCATCCTGACTACACACACTGTGATACAGGTAAAGAGCAAGTCCAGAAGCAGAGGGAAAAATCAGTTTGCGAGTGAAGGAAATATTCTGCCTGGGAAAACATGCTGGTTTTTTTTTTTTTTTTCCTTTTTCCTTTTCCAGAAGGCCGTCTCGTTTCCAGCGGTTGGTCAAAGCTTCATGTGAAAGGCAGAACAACATCCTGGACACCAAGTGGGTTCGGTTTTTGCCCCTGTACTTCAGCAGAAGAGATTTCCAAACTTTTGGGACAAGTGAAAGGCAGAGAGAGAGAGAGAAGGACTTAGTACATCTTCTTTACCAGTGGAGGAGAGACAGCAGAAAAGGACCTCAAATTGGATTAACACAAGAGGAAAATTGGATTATAGTCCCAGGGCACCCTCATTCTCTGGGCAAATTCTGCATTAACATCGCCCTTTGCCCTCGCGAGCATGGCAGCTGATCAGCAGGAGAAAAGAGGACCAAAATCCAGGAATTACAGTCAGGTTAGTGACATCTGAAGAAAACAAAGTGCTTCGAATCATTCTCTCCGTTTCTCTGAAGGGTTAGTCTTCCAGCTGCCAGGCCAGGCTGCTCCACCAGAGGAAGAGAAGGGAGGCCTACCCTATCCGTCTTAGGATTTGGATTTGGCAATGGCCAAGCCGATGAGGCCCGCCAGACTGGCCGCCCCCAACGCCATGCCACCGACGATCGCCATGCCAACCAAGCCATCTGTGGAGAGAACAAGGGGGCATCATCCTTGAGGGTCAGTTAAAGACCGACACATTGAAGGGACTTTGGACTGCTGCTTCCGAAAAAGGGGAGGGGGGGCTGGACAAACCCATTGCCATGGCAACCAACTCACCTACTACCTACCCACCCCAGCCTCTTCCAAAGAGTAAGAGCTGCAATGGTTGCCTTCCCGGGGTCAACCAAGATCCCTTGGCCATCAACCCTAGCCAGGGCCCTTCCAGGGTCACAGCAATCGCTGCACAATCTTCAAACATTAACTGCTGTGGAATGTATGTATGCATGCATGTGTGTACAGCTAGTCCTCAACGTACGACCATAATTACGCCCAAATTTCTGTTGCTAAGTGAGACACTTGTTAAAGGGAATTCTGCCCCATTTTACAGAATAACAGAATTGGAAGGGACCTTGGAGGTCTTCTAGTCCAACCCCTTGCTCAGGCAGGAAACCCTATACCAGTGGTGGTGAACCTATGGCATGCATGCCAGAGGCGGCACTCAGAGCCCTCTCTGTGGGCACACGCGCCGTCGTCCCAGCCCCGCCTCCCCCAACGGGCCCTTCCTCACCAGCAGCTCCCCCCCAGAGAAGAGTCACCCCGGGTTGTGGCCCATGCGGAGAAGCGCAGCCAAGGACATGGCAGCCGGGCAGCAGGTACAAGACTCCGCCCCCGTGCCCCGCAGCATCATCGGCTGTGTGGCCGCCATGGTGCTGCAGGGCTGCCTGGGCAATCTGCCGTGGCAGGCGGCCCTGCAGGGGGCGGGGCGGGGCAGAGTAGGTGGGGCAGGAGGTGAGGTGGAGTAGGCAGGGCAGGGGGAAGAGCAGAGTGGGTGGGGGAGGGTGGAGTGGTTTTTGGGCACTCGGTGTCTAAAAGGTTTGCCATCACTGCCCTATACCATTTCAGACAAACGGTTGTCTGAATCTCTTCTTAAAAACCTCCAGTGTTGGAGCATCCACAACTTCAGGAGGCAGGTTGTTCCACTGGTTAATTGTTCTCATTTTCAGGAAATTTCTCCTTAGTTCTAGGTTGCTTCTCTCCATTTTATGACCTTCCTTGCTTCAGTTAAGTGAATCACTGCAGTTAACTTAGTAACCCTGTTGTAAGTGAATCCGGCTTTCCCACTCTGTCTATCAGAGGGTTGCAAAAGATGATGATCACGTGCCCCTGGAACACTGCAACCGTCATAAATACACGCCAGTTGCCAAGTGTCTGAATTTTGATCACATGATCCTGCAACAGTCGTAAGGGTGGAAAACAGTCATGTGCTACTTTTTTCAGTGCTGCTGTAATTTCAAACGGTCACTAAATGAAGAGCTGTAAATCAAGGACTATCTGTATTTATGTACGTATGTATGAATGAGCAACAAAAATGATCAGGGGACTGGAGGCTAAAACAACTAAAGAATAGTTGCTGGAACTGGATACTAGTTTAATGAAGAGATGGACGAGGGGTAACATGATAGCAGGGTTACAATATCTCAGGGGTGGCCACAAGCTATTCTCCAAAGCACCTGAAGGCAGGACAAGAAGCAACAGATGGAAACTAACCAAAGAGAGAAGCAACCTAGAACTAAGGAGAAATTTCCTGACAGTCAGAACAATTAATCAGTGGAATAACCTGCCTCCAGAAGCGGTGAATGCTCCAACACTTGAAGTTTTAAAGAAGAGACTGGACAACCATTTGTCTGAAATGGTACACAGAGTTTCCTGCCTGAGCAGAAAGTTGGACTAGAAGACCTCCAAGGTCCCTTCCAACTATTCTATTCTATTCTATTCTATTCTATTCTATTCTATTCTATTCTATTCTATTCTATTCTATTCTATTCTATTCTATTCTATTCTCTCTATTCTATTCTATTCTATTCTATTCTATTCTATTCTATTCTATTCTATTCTATTCTATTCTATTCTCTCTATTCTATTCTATTCTATTCTATTCTATTCTATTCTATTCTATTCTATTCTATTCCAAATCTCTATTCTATTCTATTCTATTCTATTCTATTCTATTCTCTCTATTCTATTCTATTCTATTCTATTCTATTCCAAATCTCTATTCTATTCTATTCTATTCTATTCTATTCTATTCCAAATCTCCTATTCTATTCTATTCTATTCTATTCCAAATCTCTATTCTATTCTATTCTATTCTATTCTATTCTATTCTATTCTATTCTATTCTATTCCAAATCTCTATTCTATTCTATTCTATTCTATTCTATTCTATTCCAAATCTCCTATTCTATTCTATTCTATTCTATTCCAAATCTCTATTCTATTCTATTCTATTCTATTCTATTCTATTCTATTCTATTCTATTCCAAATCTCTATTCTATTCTATTCTATTCTATTCTATTCTATTCTATTCTATTCTATTCCAAATCTCTATTCTATTCTATTCTATTCTATTCTATTCTATTCCAAATCTCTATTCTATTCTATTCTATTCTATTCTATTCTATTCTATTCTATTCTATTCTATTCTATTCTGCTCTGCTCTGCTCTGCTCTACTCTACTCTTTACAAATAAAACTAGTTTGCTGAGAGAGGACTACCTCCCATTTTTATAGTTCTCTCGATAGAAATAACACTCCTTAATCATCCAGGTTCGTCGCACTTGTTAAAAGCCAAGGTTTCATGTGCCTGGGCAATTTCAATTCATGATTAATGTGAGGTTAGTCCATGTTTTGGTCTCCCAACTGTGAAACTCTGTGTTGCTCAATTCTTTACAAAAGCGAGGTAACCCAAGAGGTTGATAAGGATAAGCCCAGGTTGGGAAGGATCACATTAGCCGTTGTTCTTTGGGCTGGGATCCAGTGCAATTGAACTGAGTTTAAAAAAGGCCTGGCTGTCTCTACCCCACCTCTGCCCCCCTAACCTTTCTGCATGGCTTTCTTGATCAGTTTTTCCATCTCCAAGGCTTGTGTGTTGCTCGGCTCAGTCTTCAACAGGCCCCGGATGTACTTCAGAGCCTTCTCATATTCCTGTCGTGGAGGAAAAAAAAGAGCATATCCGGGGTTAATCATATCTTGAGGTTTAGCAAGCAGGCTGAGGGTGGTGTTAATATAACAACAACAACAACAACAACAACAACAACAATAATAATAATAATAATAATAATAGGCGCCTTAGGTGCAATCCCAAAACAACTGGAGCACCACTTGAACACCATTGGCATTGACAAATTTGCCATTAGTCAATTGCAAAAGGCGGCCTTACTAGGAACTGCTTCCATCCTGCAACGATACCTGTAATACCATCAAACATCCACATCTGTCTTTCCCAGGTCCTGGGTAAGGACTCAATAGGTAGACAAAATGCCAAATCCAGTCTGAACATCTGGCTGACTGTGCGATGATCCAAAATAATAATAATGTTTTCATTTTATGTTAGGATTGATGTATATTTTCTCAAGATTCATGTATGTGTATCTGCATTTGGGACATGATCAAAAACCACAAACTCCATTATCTTTTTCTTTCTGAAACAACTGTATTTTTTTTTCTTTAAACCCAGACGCTCAGATTTCTCCCTAGTCTTATAGGAGCATTTTCTCTTCTTCTCTCATTCTTAAAATTCTAGAGACTTGGGTTATCCTCAACTTACAACAGTTCATTTAATGACCGTTCAAAGTTACAACAGCACCAAAAAAAAAGAGACTTAGGACCATGTGGCCGTACTTATGACCGTTGTAGCATCCTCACGATCATGTGATCGGAATTCAGATGCTTCGCAACCAACTCATATTTATGATGTCTGCAGGGTCCTGGAAGGAGGGGGGGGATCATTTGATCATCTTTTGTGACTTCTGACAAGCAAGTCAATGGGGGAAGCCAGATTCAGCTAACAACCGTGGTACCAAGTTGACAACTGTGGCAACGAAGGTCGTAAAATGGAGAGAACCAACCTAGAAATAAGGAGAAATGTGTAAAATGGGGCAAAACTCACTTTAACAAATGTCCCACTTAGCAGCAGAAGTTTTGGGCTCAGTCGTGGTTGTAACTCGAGGACCACCTGTGCCGTTAACATTACTAGAAACTTCAATGATTAGATGGGCAAAAATTTTCGGATATAATATAGAATTGGAGAAATGGGAAAAAATATGGGAAATAAATATAAAATTGACTCTGTTGGCGGCATTCAAGGAAAACCAATTGAAGATGTTTTACAGATGGCATCTTCCACCAGCAATGCTTGCCAAGATGTTCCAGAACAATTCGCCAACATGCTGAAAATGTAAAAAAGTACATGGAACGTATTATCATTTATGGTGGACATGCCCAGTTGCAAAAAAATACTGGACTACAATAAGAAAACGGATCCAAGAAATAATAGACCAACCTGTAGACTGGAAACCAGAGATCTTTTTGTTGGGTATTTTAAACAGAAAATATAGTAAAGAAATATGGTATTTAATTTTACATATAATAATGGCGGCAAGAATAGCATATGCACAATGCTGGAAAAATGAGAATATACCATCAGACGAAGAAGTGATAAGAAAAATCCTGGACTGTGCTGAGATGGACAAATTAACAAAAGAGATAAAAGAAAAGGAAGACACAGAGTATTATATAACATGGAACAAGTGGTATGTCTGGTTGGAGACTAGAAATAATAGAGGAGAATAAATATGGAAAAGTCAAAAGTGAAAATATGTGTATAATAATGTATAATAATAATATGAATTATTCTTATTAAGAAGTAGAACATGAAGGAAGAAAAATATAAATAAGAAATAATGGGGCAATAAGGACATATATTCTAAAGAAGAATAAAGGGGGAAATGTAAATAATAGATTACCGTTACACAATCGCTGTAAAAAAAAAAAAAGGGAGAGGAGTATATATTGTGTGTGTATGTGTGTTATGTTTTGCCTTGTTTTGTTTTGTTTTGTTGGTTAATAATAATAATAATAAAAAAAACATTACTAGAAACTTGCCAGTCTGAAAAGTACAATTCTCCTGCCGTTTCCTTAACAGCCCCGGGAAACCAGGGTGGATCCCTTTTGAGCCTTTCTCCACCCATTATGCGGCTGTGGGCTGTGCCCTCTCTTATCTGACCGTTTCCTAGGCAACCTTTCTTTGCCCCTTCGCTCAAGGCCATTCTCACCTACCATTACAGGTAGAGACAATAGGGCAGAGGTGGTCCCGTAAGTAGACAGTTATGAGGATTAAAAGGGCAAAAATCAACTTCACCTATGTAATGACTATAGATCCATTCCAAGGTTACAGAGAGAGAACCCAAAGGTAGATATTAAACACAACATAATTCTCCATGTTCAGGGCCTGGATACCTAAAAATCAAATACAGATAGTCCTCAGCTGAGCCCGGCGGTTCCATCGCTATGTAAAATGGTTCCATTTTACGGCCTTTCTGGCCATAGTTGTTAAGTGAATCACTGCAGTTCTTAATTTAGTGGTAACACGGTTGTTCAGTAAATCTGGCTTCCCCATCAACTTTGCCTGTCAAAAGTTCCCAAAAGGAGATAGCAGGATCCCGGGACACTGCATCCGTCATAAGTATGAGTCAGTTACCAAGCATCTGAATTTCAGTTACGTGACCAGGGGCATGCTGCAACGGTCGTAAGTGTGAAAAACAATCGCAAGTCACTTATTTTCAGTGCCACTGTGACTTTAAACATTGCTAAATGAATGGTTACAAGTAGAGGACTACTTCTAGTGGAAACAAACAAGACGACATTGGTCCAATTTGCCACTGCTAGAACAAAATGGAGGAATATCCAATTTACCACAGCTAGAACAAAATGGAGGACTATCCAGAACAAAATGGAGGAGTATCCAATTTACCACAGCTAGAACAAAATGGAGGACTATCCAGAACAAAATGGAGGAGTATCCAATTTGCCACTGCTAGAACAAAATGGAGGACTATCCAGAACTTGGGCCTAGGAAGACCTCAAAGAACCTGAGGTTCTCCAGATGTTAGTAGCTGGGGAACATTCAAAGCAATAACCCCAATACATGAGGAAGAGATCATGCTTTTCCATTCTTCCTTTCTGCTGTAATCAGTGAACATGTTGATGTCTGGCATCCCAGATGTTTTTGAGAGGACCATCACTTACTCACTGGAGGGAGGTTCAACAGAGAGACAACAACTTCCAGACGTCCCAAAGGTGCTTTTTCTTTGAAGACATTTTACTTCTCATCCAGGAAGCTTCTTCAGCTGTGACTGGATGGTGGGGAATGGAAGGACCACCATCCAGTCAGAGCTGAAGAAGCTTCTTGGATGAGAAGCGAAACGTCTTCAAAGAAAAACAAGGAAGTCCAGTGGCCTCATGAAAAAGGACCTGGATGACTGAGACTCTCCATAGACAAAAACTTCCAGACCATCCCACCATGTTTTTGAGCTGGAGAGGGTTCAGTTCAATTCACCTCACCCTGCAATCTCAGTAGCTTATCTGTTGCACCACACAGAAGCTTCAAAACAGGCCTGGACTTCCTTCCATTCACCATCCCCCTTCCATTCCTGCTCTTAAGGCTGGATATCCTATAGCTGGCTCAAGTGGGATTTCCTCTTGAGCAAACACAAGGAGGAATGCACTGTTCACCCAGCTGTGCTTTGCACAGATCCCTCCCTCAGACCCAAGTTGCTTCTTATCTGCACTGTTGCCTCCAACAACACGCCCAAGGATCGAAGAGTTATGATCATGGCACTGTGGCAGTCCATAAAAAGTCCAGATAAGAGGATCAGTCAAAGACAGATAAGGATGGACAACACCCTGCTTTCCATGAAGTTTATGAAGCCAAGATTAGTTGTCAGAGATAAAGCAAAGGCCAAGTTAACGGGAGCCATGGGGAGAGTCAACTCCACACACAGCCAAGGTTGGGGAGATAGTTACATCCCTCAAGTTCCTCTTTCACAATCACACCCTCCACGTTCGAGAAGATGAGACAAAACAACAGGTGCTGTTTACTTCCACCAAGACCAGGAGATGGTGAAATTTATTTTCAAATGCGAAGGAAGAAAAGCGCTGGCGGTAGAGGAACAGTTTTTAAACATCCCTGTAAAGAGGTCTGTTTTGAGGTAAGGTTAAAAAAACAAAATAAAAGTCAGTGTGCAGGAAAGATTAGTGCAATGTTTTCTTTTCTGCCTCATCAAAACCTTTCTAAAGGCAAACCAGTTCCCAGGTCAATCACTTAGCTTAAAATCTGTATTGGCTGTTCCCTGAAGGCATTTGCCTAAATGCTAAAAGACCGTCAATCCTGGCCTGGACCAACCAGTCCGTTCGGGGTTGTTAAAAAGGACAGAAATAACTCTTGGAGAAAGCAACTGGCGGCAGTTCCCAAAGCACCATGTAATCCCAGGACAAGGAGAGAATATTAGAAAAGATGCTTAAACCGACTCCATTTTAACTCTCTTTGGTACGGGTAGTTCTCGACAGTTCATTTAGTGCAGTGGTTCTCAACCTGTGGGTCGGGACCCCATTTGGGGTCGAACGACCATTTCATGGGGGTCGCCAAACAACGCAGTCCGCCATTTTTTTTCCCCTTTTCCTTAGCTGTGCTACTCCCTTTTATTCTATTGGCTTTTGAAAGCCAATAGAATAGAGTCTCTTGAATAGAGTCTAATTCTATTGGCTTTCAAAAGCCAATAGGAATTGTCCAGGTTGTCTCTGCCCTGCTGAGCCCGCCAAAAGTCCCATTCTGCAAACGGTGCTGCACCAGTTGAGTAGTCCTCGACTTACGACCAGTTGAGTAGTCCTCGACTTACGACCAGTTGGGGGTCACAGCATTAAAAAGGTTGAGAACCACTGATATAGAAGATGATTTGAAAAGAGAGGTAGGAACGTGGTCAGTCAAGCATCATTGAGTCATGGTGGCACAATGGTTAGAATGCAGCATTGCAGGCTTCCAAGATCAGTAAAGGGCGGACCCAGATTGTTGGGGGCAATAAGCTGACTCTGCAAACTGCTTAGAGATGGCTGTAAACCACTATGAAGTGGTATATAAGTCTAAGTGCTATTGCAACTGCCCTTCCTTCCTTCCTTCCTTCCTTCCTTCCTTCCTTCCTTCCTTCCTTCCTTCCTTCCTTCCTTCCTCCGTTCCCTTCCCTTCCCTTCCCTCTGAGTGGTTGGAATGCAGCATTGCAGGCTAACTCTGCCCACTGCCAGGAGTTCAATCCTGACCGGTTCAAGGTTTGACTCAGCCTTCCATCCTTCTGAGGTCGGTAAAAAGAAGACCCCGATTGCTGGGGGCAATACGCTGACTCTGTAAACCACTTAGAGAGGGCTGTAAAGCACTATGAAGCGGTAAATAAGTCTAAATGCTATTGCTATCCCAAAGATGCTTTTATTCCCCCAAAAGGCAACTAGACTCCCTTGGGTTTTTTTTTTCCCTTTGAAAATGTTTCACTTCTCATCCAAGACGCTTCCTCCGTCAGCCAAGCATCTTTCTCATGTCCCTCGAAGAAAGAGCTCAAAATTTGGATTCCCTCTTTTTTTTTAACAGAACGTTACTTCTTTTGGCTTGCAATCCCAAACTGCTGTGATTTTGGTATAAAAATGAGCCGAGGTGGCGCAGCAGTTAGAGTGCAGTACTGCAGGCCACTTTAGCTGACTGTGTTCAGCAGGTCAGCGGTTCAAATCTCACCGGCTCAAGATTGACTCAGCCTTCCATCCTTCCGAGGTCAGTAAAGTGAGGACCCAGATTGTTGGGGGCAATGTATGTGTGTATGTATGTATGTATGTATGTATGTATGTATGTATGTGTATATATATATATATATATATATATATATATATATATACACACACATACACATACACATACATACATACATACATTGCTTACTGGTGTACACCGCTTAGAGAGTGCTTTCACTTAAAGCGGTATATAAGTCTCATAAATAAATAAATAAGGCCAGCTGATCGAAATTGAGCACAGCCATATCTGGAAGTGGACCTTCCGGCAAATTCCAGAAAAGTGACAAGGGGGGCCATCTACAAGCTTACCTTAAGCCGGTAATTGGCTACCGCAAGGTAGAATACGTAGTCCCGTTGTTCTTCTTTGTTTCCCTTGAGCAACAGTTCTATAAATAAATAAATAAATAAATAAATAAATAATAAAGGCAAAGGGAAGAAAATGGATGTACGTGGCTTTCTAATATAGGTAGCTCTCAACTTACAACAGTTCACTTAGTGACCGTCCGAATTTACAATGTCAATGAAAAAAAAAGTGACTTACGACCAATTTTCACACTTAACGACCTTAGGCAGTGGGACACTGCAACCAGCAATTGCCAAGGATCCAAATTTTGATCATGTAACTGAGAGAATGCTGCAACAGTCATGTTTTAAAAAAAAGGGTTCATCAAGTCACTTTTTTTCCAGTGCTATTGCAACTTTGAACGGTCACTAAACGTTGTTAAGTCGAGAACTATCTGTAATGTGATGAAATTTTTGCCTCCCCTGTTTGTCCAACAGCAGAGCTGAATCCTTGAGGAATTAAAATACACACTGGCCCTGAACAAAGACATCACACAAATTCAGCCTCCAGGTTCAAGAGTATTTTTAAAGGGAGCTACTGTATTTTTAGGCATTTGGGTTCTCAGCCATTACCTTGGATGGCTGCTAAATTACAAGTGCCGTGGCGCATTTGGGCCACAGAATCGGTGGGCAAGCACGCACACGTGCAGTTTCACTTGCACGAGTAGCAGGCGAGCACCTGCGCAAAGCTCCATTTGTGCAAGCGGCGGGCACACGTGTCCGCTCCTTGTGCAGATCCATCCCCTCTTTCTCTCCCCCCCCCTCCACCAGTCCGCAAAGCCGGAAAGATTGGGGAACTGCTGCTTTAGTCCACCTGAATCTAGCTACTGAGGTTAGTTAGGACAATCCTTTGGCAAAATAAATAAAACAAAAAAATGTTTTCCTTCAAATGTGGAAGCATACACTCAAGAAGCACAACTCAGTATTTAAAATGCTTTTCCCCAAATTCCAAAAGAACTAGCAAAAATTTTTTTTAAAAAAAGTTGGTTTAATAGCAACAGAGAACGCTGACTCTTACGAGTCTTATTTGTGTTTCCTGTATATCCCAGTAGAGACTTTTTAAGGTCAATCACTTATTTTAAAGTCCACACCATTCAAAAGTAAATACAGTGAGGCTCATCAAATTAAAAGCCAAATGTCAGTCATCCTCGGAAAAGGAAAAAGTGCCCGCTGCTGAGAGCCAAACATTGATATTTCTTATGAAAGAGGACCTTGCTTGACACGTATCAGGTAGGAAACTATATTATTCACAAATTAGATGTTTCTACCAGACTAGAATCTTTTTCTACAATAATTTTTGGCCCCGGTTTCTAAAAGAGGCAAGCGTCTCCAAACTGACAGCCTTCGGTTTGGTGGAGAAGTGGTACAAGTAGTCCTCAACTTACAACCACAACTGAGCCCAAAATGTATGTTGCTAAGTGAGAAATTTGTTAAGTGAGTTTTGCACCATTTAACAACTTTTCTCACCCCATTTGCTAAGTGGATTTAAATCATGATTGTTGAGTGAATCTAGATTCCCCATTGAGTTTGCTCGTCAGAAGTTCGCAAAAAAGGATCACATGATTCCGGGACACGGCAACCGTCATAAATGTGAGCCGGTTGTCAAGCATCCGGATGTAAATCACGTGATCATGTGAAAAATGGTCATAAGTCACTTTTTTCAATGGAGTCGTAACTTGAAACGGTCACTAAATGAACTGTTGTAAGCCAAGGACTACTCGTATAAGGATAATCATTATATAGAGAGAAAATAGGTTCAGAGAGGTCAGTCCCACCAGACAGAGAGGAGATCACTGAGGACTAGGAACATGCTAAGGTTTAAATGAACTGTTGTAAGCCAAGGACCACATGAACAACTCCCCAGATTTAACATGGTCAGTTCAGCTGAAGAGTGGAAAAAGCTCTTAAGCTTCCTACCACTGCAGTGTAGTGTGTCATGTTTGAAAGATGACACACTAGAACAGACACGTCAAACACAAGGCCCGGGGGCCGGATGCGGCCCACAAAGTGGTTTCATGTGGCCCGCAAAGACATCCTGGAAACAGGCCACCCAGGAGCCCATGTACAATTTTGTGGCGGCCATTTACGCTGATACACATTCAGTCTTAGCTCCACAAGGCCGTCTGGAAACAGTGAGGAACCAGCCCCTGCCGCATCGGCCCTGCCCCCTGGGTGCATGCTGGGGAGATGTCACCCTTTGTGAGGAATGAAGAAATGCACCATCACCTGGAAGTGGCCAGCAAATGGCCCTCGCCTACTTCACATATCCGGCGCGAACGATGTAGAGCTGGCCATGCCCACCCAATAGGCCAAACCCATCCCATCCATGCCCACCCAGTAGGCTGCACCAACCCTGGCCACACACCCCTGCCCCCCCCCGCCGAGGCCAACCGCAATGCAGATGCAGCCCTCAATGAAATTGAGTTTGTCACCCCTGCACTAGAATTTCCGTAACTGCCCTTTCAATCCTCTGCCGTATCTCTAAGGCCTAACAGGTGAAAGACAACATTCATCTTATGAAAGGAACTACGGGGATTTATTCTTAAGAAAGAGTTTCGTAAGGGAGATCCAGAGTGCCCCTTTGCAGCTGGCCTAAGGCTCACCTTCCAAAAGTACAATGCCCCTTTTGATGTCCTCATTGTATTTGCTGCGGACCAGGCACCAAGCATACTCGAACTGTGTTCCTTTGGAGATGTTGCCTGCGCTTTGCTCAGAATTGAACTTCTTCTCGAATCTCTGGAGAACAGAAAAGAGAAAGGCTAGATCAGTGGTTCTCAACCTGTGGGTCGGGACCCCATTTGGGGTCGAACGACCATTTCACGGGGGTCGCCAAACAACGCAGTCCGCCATTTCCGCCCCCCCTTTTCCTTAGCTGTGCTACTCCCTTTTATTCTATTGGCTTTTGAAAGCCAATAGAATAGACTCTCTTGAATAGAGTCTAATTCTATTGGCTTTCAAAAGCCAATAGGAATTGTCCAGGCTGTCTCTGCCCTGCTGAGCCCACCAAAAGTCCCAGTCTGCAAATGGTGCTGCACCAGTTGAGTAGTCCTTGACTTACGACCGGTTGAGTAGTCCTCGACTTACGACCGGTTGGGGGTCGCGGCATTAAAAAGGTTGAGAACCACTGGGCTAGATGGAGGGTAAGGATGGATGGACGGCAAGGACGCCCATCTTCAAATCTTCAATTGCCAGCGCCCCTCATTGCCCCAAATCATTGATTCCACACACACAAACACACACACACACACACACACACACATGGGAAGTTTCCTCACATTGCTTATATAATTGGTCTATTGTCCTCATTACAGCAGGTTTTCTAGCAAGATCTCTCTCCTTGCTTTGAACGAGAGCCTCCTGCAACACGATCCTTTCTAGCTGTGATTTGTTAAGTGAACCCATCATCTTCAATGCTGGCCAGGCTAGAAGAAACTGCTGGAAATTCCATCCTGGGAAAGGCTGCACTACTAGAAATAGACTAGGATGAATTTCTGTTTAATTTGTGTTTTCCAGCTGGGTGAGAATTAAGTCATTTACCAAAAGGAAAGGTGATAAACCTACTGGAAAAATCAGCCTTATTTTATTGATTGTATATAGCAGTGGTGGTGAACCTATGGCACGGGTGCCAGAGGCGGCACTCAGAGCCCTCTCTGTGGGCACGCGCGCCGTCGCCCCAGTCCTAGGCCTTCAGCTGGGTTTTATAAAATCTTTTCACTTTAGGCCTCTGTCACCGTATGCAAAAAAAAAAAAGGTTCAATCAGTCAATTTCAACTTCTCGCGGGAAAAAAAAAAGATCTTGCAAAGTTGGAATTGATTGAACTTTTTAATCCCACCCAGTCTACTGTTATCACCGCAGCCACACCCACCCAATGGGCCACGCCCATCCAATGGGCCACACCTAGCCATTGGGACACACCCACCTGGCACTCGACAAGTATAAGTGGGTTTTGGGTTGCAGTTTGGGCACTCAGGCTCTAAAAAGTTCACCATCACTGATATATAGGTAGTGCTCAACTTACAACCATTCATTTAGTGACCAATTTAAAGCTGCAACGGGACTGACGAAACTGACCTATAACTGCTGCTTTTCACTCTTACGACAGTTGCAGCATCCCCACATGGTCACGTGACTAAAATTCAGACACTTGCCAAGTGACTCCTATTTATGACGGTTGCAGTGTTCCAGGGACCACGCGATCACCTTTTGTGGCCTCCTGCCCAGCAAAGTCAATGGGGAAGCCAGATTCACTTAACAACCGTGTGACTAGCTCCAGTGATTCACTTAACAACTGTGGCAGGCAAGATCGTAAAAGGGGGCAAAACTCACTTAACAAATGTCTCATTCAGCAACCGAGGTTTTTGGCTCAATTGTGATCGTAGGTCGAGGACTATCTGGTACAGTAAATCTTATTTTGGGGGATAGCATCGCTTCTCGTGTAAACTATGGTGTTTGCAGGAACGTCTGCTAGTCCGTCATTCATTCCTAGGTACAGATAATCCTCAACGTACGACCGCAATTGAGCCCAGAATTGATGTTGCTAAGTGAAAAATTTGTTAAGTGAGTTTTGCCCCATTTTACGAATTTTCTGGCCCCATTTGTTAAGTGAATCACTGCAGTTCTCAAATTAGTAACACAGCTGTGAAGTGAATCTGGCTGACTTTGCTTGTCGGAAGGTCGCAAAATGGGATCACATGACCCATGGGACACCTCAACCGTCATAAATGTGAGTCAGGTTGTCAAGCATCCGAATGTAAATCACTGTGACCATGGGGAATGCTGAAAACGGTCATAAGTGTGAAAAATAGGCGTAAGTTGTTTTTTTTCAGTGCCGTTGCCGCTTCAAACAGTCACTAAATGAACTGTTGTAAGGTGAAGACTTGCCTGCATTAATCCTAAGTTATCATGAAGATCAAGCAAGATGAACAGAGATAAATTCTTCGGCACTGTCATCCATCTGCAAGTTTCCCCAAGATATGGCGGCTGGCACTATTGTATGTTTACAATGTGGGGTTCTCAACTCAGAACGAGTCTCTGGAGATTCCCAGTCATCCAGGTCATGATTGTCCCAAAGGTTTTTTCAGGACGCAAATGGACTTTCTTGTTTTTCTTTGAAGACGTTTTGCTTTTCATCCTAGAACAGGGGTAAGCAACCTTGGCTCTTTTATGACTTGTGGACTTCAACTCCCAGAATTCCTGAGCCAGCATGAGAGAAACTATGGCCCCCCTCATGACTCGTGGACTTCAACTCCCAGAATTCCTGAGCCAGCATGGCTCAGCTTGGAAACCTCTCCCTTTCCCATCAGCATGGCTGGCTCAGGAATTCTGGGAGTTGAAGTCCACGAGTCATAAAAGAGCCAAGGTTGCCTACCCTTGTCCTAGAAGCTTCTTCAGCCCTGACTGGATGGTGGGGAATGGAAGGATTTATACTCCTTGCAGACAGCTGGTCGTTTGCCTTCTTTCAGAGAGTCGTTGAGGCCACCTGGAGGTTTACCTGTGTCCTCAATTGTCTCAAAGGTGCTTTTTCAGGAGGCAACTGGACTTTCTTGTTTTTCTTTGAAGAGCTTTCGCTTCTCATCCAAGAAGCTTCTACGGCTCTGACTGGGTGGTGGTAAATCCTTCCAAATCCTTCCATTCCCCACCATCCAGCCAGAACCGAAGAAGCTTCTTGGATGAGAAGCAAAACGTCTTCAAAGAAAAAGAAGGAAGTCCAGTTGCCTCCTAAAAAAAACATGTTTGGGACAACTCAGAACAAAGGATTCTCAAAAAGAGGGTTCAGCTGGACAGGCTGAACTAGAACTAAGGAGAAACTTCCTGACAGTTAGAACAATTAACTAGTGGAACAACAACCTGCCTCCAGAAGCGGTGAATGCTCCAACACTGGAGGTTTCTAAGAAGAGACAGCCATTTGTCCAAAATGGTATAGGGTTTCCTGCCTGAGCAGGGGGTTGGATTAGATGACCTCCAAGGTCCCTTCCAACTTTGCTACTACTACTACTACTATTAACAGGCCTTCCTGGCGAGAGACCCAAGCTGTGCTAAAATATGGTCCACTGAATTTCTGACTATACAGGTAGTCCTTGAGTTATGTCTACAACTAAGCCCAACCTTCCCACTGCTAAGCAAGGCATCTGTTGCGTTGCGCCCTATTGTATGACCTTTCTTTCTTGCCACGGTCGTTAAGCAAATCGCTGCAGTTGCTAAATGAATCATGCAGTTAAGATGCTTTTCTGAAAAGGCAACGAGACTTCGTTTTTCCCTTTGTTAGGAAAAAGAAAGTCCCGCTGCCTTTGGAAAAAAAAGGATCTTTGGGAGAAGCACGGCCTGGATGACTGGGTGTCTCCATAGACATGGGGTCGTTAAGCGATTCTGGTTCCTCCCATTGATTTTTTTGCTTGTCAGAAGACAAGTGGGAAGGTCGCAAATGGCGATCACCTGACTCCGGGATACTGCAATTTGTCATAAATATGAACCAGTTGCCAGGCGCCTGGCTTTTGTTCATGTGGCCGTGAGGATGCTGCAACAGTCGTAAGTGGGAGAAATGGTCATAAGTTACTTTTTACAGTGCCGTGGTAACAAAAAGATTTGGTGAAAGATAAAAAGTGCAGGGCAGAGGGGACAAACCCGCCACCCCCCCCCAAAGGAATAGAAAATATGAACAGAGAGTCTCTTTTTCTACCAATAAAAATCTGCAGCTTCTTATTGTCTTTCTAGAATAGATGAAAAACATATAGCATGGCAGCTCCCTGCCCCCCTCTCCCCATGCAGGATATTCTCAGGGTCTTTGCGCCCTCTACAGGGCAAGAAAAAAGCTGCAATTCCCTCATTTTTCAATTTTGCGGTCAGAACGCCTCGCCCAAACAATAAATAAGTAAAATGAAAATATTTTGGGGGAATGAATGAATGAATGAATGTGATCCCCTCTCTCTGCGAGAGAGGGCAATTCTCCACAGCCAGCAAATAGCTTTGGAGATTCTTCCAGCTAATCACAATTTATCACTCTCATGTTTTAGCATGCTGTGCAATTCTCAATGATTTGCAATTTAGCATCCTGTGCAATTCTCAATGATTTGCAATTTAGCATCCTGTGCAATTCTCAACGCTGGCTCAGAGCCCAAGGACCCCAGGGTAATACAGGTAGTCTTCGACTTACGATCACAATTGAGCCCAAAATCTGTTGTTCAGCGAGGCATTTACTAAGTGAATTTTGCCCCACTTTATGGCCTTTCCTGCCCGAGTTGTTAAGTAAATCACTAGCGGTGGCTCAGTTAATAGCAGGGTTGTTAAACGAATCAGGCTTCCCCATTGACTTCTCAAGCTTCTTAGAAGGCCGCCAAAGGGGATCACATGACCCCCGGAGACACTGCAACCGTCACATATATGAGTCAAGTTGCCAAGTGTCTGAATTTTGATCACGTGACCATGGGGAGAGATGCAAGGGTCATAAGTGAAAAACACAGTCGTAAGTCACTTTGTTCAGTGCCCTTGTAACTTTGAAAAGTCACTAAATGAACTGTTGTAAGCCGAGGACAACCTGTACACAGAGAGGTCTGAAGCTGCAAAGCTGATAGCGAGGCTTTAGACCAGTGGTTCTCAACCTTTTTAATGCCGCGACCCCCAACCTGTCGTAAGTCGAGGACTACTCAACCAGTCGTAAGTCGAGGACTACTCCACTGGTGCAGCACCGTTTGCAGAATGGGACTTTTGGCGGGCTCAGCAGGGCAGAGACAGCCTGGAC